TCTTGGAGGCAGAGGGAAGGTCAATGCATTCAAACTTCTTGTCAACTTCTTATCCAGAGGCTTTCCAACAACTTGAGAATGAGTGGACTGTGCCACCAGGTTTGATCAACTCACTTCAAGCATTCACATGCCGCCTGTATGTCTCAGGTTCTTCAATAAGGGATGTCAATCAATTGCGCTACCACCCATTTGAAGCGAAAAAATGGATAACTGAACCAGGACAATTGCCACACTGCTTTGAGTGTCTATCTATGCACATCCTGAGAGCAAACTATCAAGCTGCAATATGGAACAACTGTCTGGAAGCTGAGTATCCAACTCCACGGGCAACAGATGGTAATGGATGGGTGGAAGAAAATGGTCACATAGCGATTTGCTAGATGGCAGGATCTCTTGCTCCAGATGCTGTTCTTGAGTTCATTTCTTGCAAGTGCACAACAGTCTGTAAACCGCCAAGTTGTCAATGCCTTACCAATGGACTGAAATACACCGTGACATGTCGGAACCAGATTTGTGACAACATGGTATGCGAGGACCATGACATGCCGAAGAGTGACACTGAAGATGAAGCTGATGTTTATGGTGCGGAAAAGTGACTATCACTACACAAATTAAGGAACTTGAAGGTGATCTAACTCTTTGAAATTAAAGAGGTGTCTTCCGAATAAATGAAATGATGAGTTTTCGAAGTTCTTTGAACTTACAATTTTGACTTTTACAAAATGAGAAATAAATATGATTTAAAGGTATCAAATAACACACTTGATATTAATTAAATCTTTTTGATCAGGTTAGCACCTTTTTATCTCCCTTTTTTTAATTTCCAACCTATTTGCTGAACTTTATTCATGATTCAAGCTTGGAATTGACATTTTTTGAAAATGTTGGGGTTTATTGGCGGCCATCGTGGATTTAGCCTCGTTCTGAATCTAAGCTACCAAACCAACATGGCATCATATATTTTCGATATGTAGAGACCATGACACTTCAAAATACATAAAAGTGGTATCGAAAAATTGTCTGGCTCATGGCCTATATTGTCTTTTAGACAGGTACAGTCACAACGATAATGATATATCAAAACGTGTGTAGGGAATGGGTGAGTGATTGAAGTTAAGGTCGATTTGTTGTAGGCGTTTTCAAAGGGAATTGTTAAGGTTTTGCCCAAGGGTCATAAAGTTGGTCAAATGATGTTCGGTAACTATAGTAACGGATCTTTGTAATGCTTAAAACGGCGAATTGCTATCATCGTCTAACTTGACTAGGTCACTATGGTCCAACACAAAGAATGAAATTGAAAATGTTCACATACGTGTAGCTGGAAAAAAAATGTCCGTGTCTATTGTGTCCAGATAAGATACTGAGTCAAAAAACGTACTAAGCTGAGATGTCCTTCATTGTAGTTTTGAGAGAGAACCAGCGGCGTACCCAGCAATATTCAAGATATTCTAAAATAAGAGAGCCAATGATTTGAAGGTAGATGTCGTTGAGATGTTCATTTACAATACCTCTGCGTGGCATTTTAACGTGTCATCTATTCCCAATGAAACTGAATGTCAAAGATGCTAAAGTGTGTAGAACTATAGGGGAACTCACAAGGGGAAGCTCGGGATTACAGAGATGGGGTTAGCAACACCAGGGACGAACTGCGATCAAATGGCGATACACCAGGTTTAGAAGATCACGATTTGGCTCCGATTGACGAATGGAAGAAAACGTTGATGGCAACGCTGCGGTGATCTCGTGGACTGTCTGGCGATATGTACACGACATTCTGTGTCAGGGGGTTGGGGTGAGGTGAGGGGGTGGCTGAGGAATTTCTTCCAGCGGAATGGCGACAATACCAAGCTCAATCATACTCAAGTTAGTCACACTTTACCACCGGGGTGGTCGTGCATTTAACGCCAAACATGAAGGTCTCATCGGGTCTTGTTTTACACATTTATCGTCGTTTCATTTGTATTATCGTTTCACTAGGTCCCTTCTTTTTGCCGGTGGTATATATGACGGCGGTCTGTTAATAGCATGGTCTAGACAGGACAGGTGATGATTTTCATAAGAATCGTATATACCATACAAATACAGATTGCAAGCCAGGTTTGCAAGCCAGGTTACTGCAATTGCGACAAACATTGGTTTAGGGGTAGGTGTTCCCAACCTGAACCTCCAGAGATTACAATATAAGTCATCTTACAACGTATGTATTTGCACATGAAAATAGGGAAACCGTTATATTTCACAATTGTAATCATTCTAAATTACTTAATAGAAAATAGCTACAGAAGTATGTCCATTGCGTATGTAATTAAGTGATATACTGGAAGGATTAATCCTGCTAGAATCGGATCGTTTCTTTCACGCATTGTTTCCACATCCAAACCACAATAACACCAAAGCATGCTTTACTGCAGAAAAAACGTTTCTAATATCGTTTTCTTTGCTGTGCTCTAGACAAGTTTTCGGATATTTCTTGTTTCAGAGTTTTTGCCATTATTCTAATTCCTACTCACCAAAACTGACGTCCTGACATTGCAAACGCGGTTCCTCGACTACTGGAATCAGATTTTACATCCTTGTCACGGGCTGACAGCATAGTCCGTTCTGGAGCTAGTTAACTCTTACAGTTGTAAACATAAATCACACTTCCCTGTTGCAAGAGCTGTGGTTGACTAAAGAAGAGTGTCATCTTCTTGCCTTTAGTATACAGATGACAGAGGTTTGTTTACAGATGTTTTTGGTGGTAGCCAAGGGTTGGACAGGATGGGCTCGCCTTTTTTCGAGTTAATTTTATAATGTTTCATACACATGTGCTTTCAGGAGAAATTTCTTTTCATTCTCGAAACGTTCTTTTCGCTTTTATGTACATCTGTTTCTCATCAACTGCCATGTCAGTGACAGCAAGGTATGGACTGAGAATGAGCTTGAGAATGAGCTTCTACCCACTAATCTACAAAACATGTACCTGTAACGACTCAAGATTATGTCAGTTATCGTCGTTCGTACATAAATATCTGATTTCCATCACGAGATGATAAGTCATTGTTGAAGGGTTACCCAGGTGTGTAGAGTCAGACATCATATGCCAACAAGCGCCAAAATGTCTGAATATGTTGAGAATTTGATTAACAGTTGAAGAACATGCCATGGCACTGATTTTAGGAAACATTGGACAATTTGGATTTAAGACAACGAAAAGTAAATGATTGTAGGTGATGGATAAAAACTGCCACGAAAACTCGCCTGATCGCAAGCCATGACTTTGCCAGTGTATACTCTTCAAAAAAAAGTAGGGGAACCTGAACGTCCAGTTTGGAAGGGAAGTATAAACGTTGACAAACGTTTCAAAGACAGGGGTGTTATGAACGCACCACCATTTCTTTTTATCACCACCCCTAAACGCAGTAGCCCCATACATGTGCATGGGGTGTGATTTCTTGATTTTAACGATTTACAGTCGATAAATCACTGTAGATTATTAAGTTTGACAATCATCTTGCATCAAACTGGTGTTATTGTTTGTTTCTAGCCGTTTCTCTTTGTTTTGGTTTTTAAATGAAAATTTCACGTCATACACCAATCATCTTTCAAGAGCGATTACTGTACAAACAACTATGGTGGAAATGCAGTGGTGATGCACTCTCAAAACATTCATTATTATCATATCAACATTGATTGACTCCAATATATCTCCCAATATTTCGAATCGTAAATTAAAAAATGAAGTTCCCCTTATGTTTATAATAACAAGCAACGTCGAGCATATAATTGTGACATTTATTAAAAGTGACCAACACAAACTCTTCATGAAGTTAGCAGCATGATAACTTGCCATAACTCCGTACGCAATGGCGTCACCCCTATATTCAGTTACGTCAACAGACAATAATGACGACACGTAACTGCACTATATTGCCCCAAACATTCGACATTGTGAAATTTTGAGAAACTCTACAAAGAAATGTTCAGTACTCCACAAAGGTTAGAAAATTGAAAGTGATATTCTGATAATCGTATCGGTATATTATTCCAAATGTTGCTTGGTTATACTAATATGGCGCTTACAGTCACAGCCAAAAATATATGCGATATGACGTCATCTGCTCTTCATGACGTAACAAAATGACATCATTGCGTCCAATCAGTGATTTTCTGAGAGATTGATATGTCATGTTCTTCTTCAAATAATTCCACACACCCTTCTGCACACCCAGTACCCCACACTCCACACCCATCACGCAGTACCCCACAAGCCACGCCATCTATCCCACATCCCACACTCAACACTCAACACTCACTCCACACCGACACCCACACTCACTCCACACCCACCCTCAGCCAAATTTCACTAGAGTGTCGCCGCTTTATCAGTTTTCCGAAGTAGGAAACTCCGTAGACCTGCATCACTTCAGTCTTTCCTCCCAGTCTCGGACGGTGGGGTAGTCTAGTGGTTAAAGTGTTCGCGCGTCACGCCGAAGACCCGGGTTTGATTCACATGGGTACAATGTGTGAAGACTATTTCTGGTGTCCCCCACCGTCATATTGCTGGAATATTGCTAAAAGCGGTGTAAAACCATAATCATTCACTCCTAGTGGTCAGACCAACTTGGTCTCTTTTCATCTACGTTTACTAAAGAATTGTTTTGGAGAGAAAGCAAGTCGATCTACATAATGAATCAATTTAAATGACTAAATCATCCACATTTTAAAATTTTATTTAAAAAATAGTTATACAATTAGTGGAAATCATTTTTGAAAACTATATTTCCTTTTTTTTGGCCCGCTCTCTAGCTGGTTATAGTCGTAGATGAGGAACACCTAAAATAATGACTGATGGTCTTAACAGCGGCGTTAAACCCAACACACTCACTCACTCACTCACACTCACAAGTGACAAATAATCCATAATTCTTCGTGCCTCACTGGATATTGAAAGTAAGCACTATTGACCCTTTCTAACCACTTATCACACTATAACACACGTTAATAACAAACTTCGCAACTAAATCGGATATGTCGAACAATCACCAGTCATTAAGTCGATTCTTAACCACCATAGCAAACTTAGCATATGCCGAATCGTCGGTTAAATTAAGTCAAGTCTTAACAAGTTGGTGTATGTTGACATACTAAAAAGTGGAACTGACTAGGTATCGAAATCGGATATGTCGAATTGTTGGCTGAACCGAAGTCAACCCATGGGTTCAACATGTTGCCTTGCAATCAATTATTAGGAAAACTGTTTAGATATCGAAATGGGATATCCTGAAATGTCGTTTAACCCATGGTCTGCTACTTCTTTAAACATAACTTCTTATATGACGATTTGAATTCATGAGTTGGCAGAGTATTGAGGGCATATGTTCTAATTTTCTTATCAGGGGCAATTCTGACATACAACATATAAAATCTAAACATTCTGCAGTTGAGATGTAAATTTAGCTCCTGCTTCTCCCATTTCATGTATACTCCGGTAACGCTACGACGGGAAGTCGGTCACCGCCTGCACACTGTAACTGGCACGTGAGAATGGTGTACAATGTAGTCGCTGACGCTGCCGAGAAGCGTCCTCCGTATCTTCCCTATCCCTCGCGCTCCAGTGATGATCATGCTGGCGTTTTCTTCATCAGCAATACGCACGATTACCTCCCCTGGATTGCCGATCACGCTCTTTACCTTGCCTGTCATCTGTCAACAAACAGAAACACGTGAGACACATTCACAGTTAGTGAGTGAGGTTTTATGCCGCTTTTTAGCAATATTCCAGCAATAACACGGCGGGGGACACCAGAAGTGGGCTTCACACATTGTGCCCATCTGAAGAATCGAACCCGGGGTTTGGACGTGATGAGCGAGCGCCTTAACCACTGGGCTACACCACCGCCCCGATCGACCTATGAACGATACGGGTATGCGGACATGCCCCGCACGGAAATCATTAAATCTGAAACGAATTCTTATAAACAGAGCAGGTGTACTTTGTAAACACAAACTTGTGCCATCCGTTGTCATTTAAAGTTTTAGGTAACCCGTGAAGGTCCGGGTTAGAATATTGGATTTTCAGTAACCCATGCTTGTCGTAAGAGGCGACTAACGCGATCGGGTGGTCAGGCTCCCTGACTTGGTTGACACATGTCATCGGTTCCCATTTGCGCATATCAATGCTCATGCTGTTGATCACTGGATTGTCTGGTCCAGACTCGATTATTTACATACCGCAGCCATATAGCGTGTAGCATTCGGGGTATATCAAGTTATATATGATGAGACACTAGTGTACACGCAATTTCGTCGCATTTGGAAACCATCAGCGACACACGCCTCAAGCAAGCATCATCGACACACGCCTCTGACATGGACGTAAGTGTGTAGACTGTCAGTCCGGATGAAAAGTATATTGTAAACAGCGGTTATAAAGTGGGAACAACGAATCGGAAACGAACACTGCATGAAGGCACGTCGAAAGGTAGAGATTATCAGAGAAGTGGATCTGACGCAGAAGGTCGTCATCGACGTAGACGCAGAGATAGAAGTTGCAGCAGGAGCAGAGATAGAAGTGGCAGGAGCGGAGACAATCGCAGGGAGGAATTCCATTCCTCATCTGATGATATCGAAGGTGAGATGATAAATACCAATCATAACAAAGGTGAAAGTGCTCCTCATCCTTTGCGATCATGGGATGACCTCACAGTTCCTAGTTTTATAAGGGAGCTCATTGACAAAAGTGGATACAAAATCCCCACTCCAATTCAGATGCAAACAATTCCTATTGCTCTACAAAACAGGGATGTTCTTGGTGTTGCTGAAGCTGGAAGCGGTAAAACAGTTGCATACCTTGTTGCTCTTTTCGCATGGATTCACGGATTGCCAAAATGCGAGATGATGGGAAAGTCGACCAAAGCTCCCGATGCCATTATTCTTACACCAACACGTCTGTTGGCTCAACACGTCAAGGAGGAATGTGATAAGTTTGGCGAAGTAAGTGGCATCCGAACCGCCACAGTCATCGGAGGTGTAAATTATAAGGAGCAAACCAACAAGCTTGATTCGGGCTGTGAGATTGTTGTAGCAACTCCAGGCCGACTCCTTGATGTTCTGGAGAAAGGTAGTCTTGTTCTCAACCAGCGGACCTGTGTTGTGATGGATGAAGTGGATGTTATGGTAGAATTTGGCTTTGAGTCCGATTTACGTAAAATCCTTGATATATTACAAGGAATGCCAGAAACAGAAGGTAGAGAAGAGAATGCGAAGAAATGCCACCAGACAGTCATGTTCACGTCTACCATGCCTCCCACGGTGGAGCGTCTTGCGTGTACCTTTCTGTATGATCCCTGTGTGGTACAGGTTAGATTCAATTCACATCCAAGATGATCACAGCCATCATTGTATCAACATGGCGACAGAAGAATGATTGGCTGTTTGAGATCCTTCAGGAAAGATTGGAAACACCTGTTACCATTTTTTGTCGGTAGGAAGGGAGAAGCGGAGGAAGTGACCAGCTATCTCAATAGAATGGACTTCACTGCTGCTGTGCTTCACGGAGGAACGTGCATGATGCTGGGAGAGGCCGATGTGACAGCTTTGAAGGAAAGATCCATATTGACCATGTACACATATTTCTGGTAAAGATATCAACATAATAATATCTAACGTGTCAACAATTATTAACTATACAACGGCAATGTCTATTGGAGAAAACGTAAGTATACTACTCATCAAAAGTTTAGACTCACTGGTGTAAATGTAGCCACGTACTAAATTTGGCAAAATATTTCATACTGTTTAAAGGTATTGTTTACACATGTACTGATGTATTGTAAAATAAATTCGTAACGTTGAAATGAATATTGCCATGAGTTCAATAAATGATGAAACTCAGTGAAGGTGAGGTGAAATTGGGTTTTTACGTCGTGCCTGAGAATATTTGGCCCATATGACGACGCGCATCCGTGTGTACTAGCCCAGACTTAAGCTGGTTTTATAGTGCTAGCCCACTGAGATACCACGCAGCAGTGACACTCAGACACATTATACTGACTCCGAGCCGACCAGTCCTTGTTGTACCCGTTAATGCCGAGCGCCAGGCAGGGACCAACAAGTACCATATTTTAACGTCTTTTGGTATGACGCGGTCGGGGATCGAACCCGCGACCTTCCGCTCTCCGGGCGGACGCGCTATCCACTACACCACGGAGGAGGTTGATGAAACTTAGTGAAAATTGGCGAATTCTTAACAAAACTTTACACCAAAACTCAGCTGTTCACATGCCCAATATTTCCACATGCTTTACAGCATTTTGATGCATGATCCTTGAGCATCTGCAAATGATTTGCAGTTGGTTCTCCCAAGTTAGTGGAGAACTTCAGCTTCGATGTAACACACACACACACACATACACACACACACACATATATATATATATATATATATATATATATATATATATATATAGTGAGTGAGTGCTTTAAGTGTCTAAACCTTTGATGGGTAGTAGATAGTTTTGCTCGGGCAGGTCTTAGGGTAAAACAGTGTTACAGTTTCCTTCCTGAGGGATGAAGATTCTCATCTCTTCAATATCCTGAAGCAGATGTTTCTTGCTACTTCTTCAGCAAGTTGTCTCCCCGAATTGGTTTATCATCCTACTGCCCAGAACAAACCTGCTTGACAAATTAACAGTAAGGAAATCTGAACGCTATTCATTGACATTGGTGATATAATCTTAACTATTTATGTCTGTAAATTCAGACCATTTGCCATCATTTACTTTTAGTGGAAGAAATTTTAGAAAACGTCAATTGAGAGTTGTTTGTACGATTATGATTAGGAGCAAAAACAGCAGTGAGTGAGTACGCCCCCTTTTTAACAATATCGCGGCGGAGGACACAAGTAATGAGCTTCACGCATTATGCAAATGACGAAAAAACGGGGTTTTGGCGTGAAGGGGTAAGGCTTTAACCACTTGGCTATCACTGCCTCTGAAAACAGCAGTGGGACGAATATGAATAGATGAATGGATCACCGAAAACCTATAGCAACAAACCTGGATATACTTCTGAATAATTTGCATTCATAAAACTAGATTTACGTCTCATTTCCATGGAGGAGGGACAGCTCGTCACGCCGAAGACCCGGGTTCGATTCCCCACATGGGTACAATGTGTGAAACCCGTTTCTGGTATCGACTGCCCTGATGTTGCCCAATATTATTAAAAGCGGCGTAAAACCATACTCGCTCTCTCTCACTCTGGTAGGCAGATCGCCAAAAGCCCTCGGTGTAACAGTCCCTCGATGAACTGAACAGAACTCTGTTTAGAAGTGAACTAACTGGTTCCTTGTCCAAAGTCAACGCACACGCACACGCACACGCACACACACACGTTCACAAACACGAACACGCACGCACGTACGCACGCACGCGAGACAGCGTTTCACAGCAAAATGTCATCGTGGTGTAACAATGCTTTGAAGCATAAAATAACACAGACTCCGTCATTACAAAGTAGAAGTGCCACTTCTCATAACAGCTGCTGCAGTTCGGAATAAGAAACATCTTTGGAAAAAGCACTGAGTGTACAGTTAAGTCACCTATGCCTCAACTATTTTGTCAACTATTTGTTCACTACACTACACACTACTGTATTTGTAATGACAGGTGGTGCTCGGGCCATGTACCCTGGATAGTTAGACAAAGTGTTAATCCGCATTCAGCAATATTCCAGCAACATCACGATTAACCGATATGAGTTTTGCTCTCGTTGTGGATATTACTAAAAAAGACACCAAAAAGTTTATTGGTTGGTTGGTTGGTTGGTTAAATATAGGAAGGCAACAGTCGCTTTTTGACAGAGATGGATGGAACACATCAGAGTGCAGACAAATGCGGTGAATGTAAAAGTGTCGACAGGAACGCAAAGATCAAATACTGGTGCATTCTCTTCCCACAGAGGTTACTCCTGTCATATCTTGCTCCGTAACCTCTGTTCTAATACGGCCCTTTCATGGTGTGAGCGTTCAAGACTCGTCATTGGAGGCAATCAGATTTAGTTGTGCAATCAGCGACGTTGTTTCAAAAGTGAGCATTCGCAAGGCCTCGGTAATTTCCGTATATTTCTAGAAAACTAAACCTCTTCCCCTGCACGAAGCGCAAACGTTTCTTCTAGACAGAACTCAGTCATGTTATGGCGGATCAATAGCGTCTCCATTGCCCTCGTTGACTAAGCTAGCCATTAAACGTCTTGTGTGTAACATCAACACAAGTCCCCGGCAGATGGGGGATATTTGTGGCCTCACATTTTGTTTGTGTTAGTCAAGTTGAATCTAAGTCGATGTAACACGTGTTCTGATTGGATAGAAGGAAGGGAGATAATTCGTGTTGCGATCTTTTGCCGCTAGTGGATTTTACGAGAAGAGGGAAATATGGCCGTATTAGAACAGAGGTTCGTAGGAAGATATGACAAGTAACCTCTGTGGGAAGAGAATGATACTGGTGTAGCGTTCACAAGCACCAGCACTTTAGTTGTTCCGTGTAGTAAGGTTACACTACAATGGATCACCGAGTCACCGGAGACTAGTTCTGTCACTGTCATCCCTACGGTTTGTCTTCTTTGTTTGTGAGGGGCGGTGGGGTAGCGTAATGCTTAAAGCTTTCGCTCGTCAGGCCGAAGACCCGGGTTCGATTCC